TGATACTATAATTTTGTATGTTGGTGGTTGCATATGCAATACATAAGAGCAAATTACTACAGTCACCAGCTGCTGAACAAGTATTTCTTATTCATTAGCTACTCTTCTATCTAAAAATGATATTTTTCCTACTAACGGTTAAGTACCATAAATGTACATTAATTTAAATGGGAAAAAAGCTTGCATAACACAAGAAAAAATAAAGAAAAAGGAGCAGTAGTAAGCAATCGTGTATTTAATGACACTCCTCCTGTTATGCTCTTTCCTTTTCTGGATTGCTCTCTGTGAAAAGCACAATGGTTGCTACTACTAAGAAGAACCTAACACGGCAACGACAATTCTTCAGTCTCCCTGAGATTTCCCAGAAACTGAGGAGCATTTCAGACTGCTCCCTTTTCCCAATTCTCTTGACCTTGAAATGCGCTGTAGGCACTGGACAGTCTATCTTTTAGCTAAGCAATGTACAGAAGATTCACATCTATATACTTAGGAGCCCAGATGTGATATTCAAGACTCGATTTTCGCTTTCACTAAGACTGCCTTACAATGTTGCATCATGATAAAATGAGGCAGCATTAGTGAGCATCAGGCTCTCATAATTGTCTAACTGCCAATTTTTCTCTGACCAAGAGCGCAGCGGTGATGTGAGGAACACTGACAGAGAACTCAGGGCCAGATAATAGCAAAGACCGTAAATCTTAAATAAAAGTATAGATCAATTGTGTACTCATTAATTACTTTATTGTTCCTGTACTCAGATGTCCCAACAGGACCATGCCACGTAGTAGGAAATGTACCAGCACAGCTTCTTTACCGAAAGCAGATATGCCCCATTTAGCATTATAACGTGCCTTTTTAATATATCAGCACATAGAAGGTGAAAGGCTATTTTCCTTTCTGTATTTACAAATACATGTCATTGCTAAGCTCACAGCTGACTGTATTCTGTAGCTTAGACAGCTGAGAATGTGAGAAGGTTCACCAAACAGCACTTTAGAAAGATTTCTTATTCTCTTCAAAGAAAAGTTAGCCTAAAAAGCAGAGTCTATTAAAAGATGCTCAATAAGATCCATTGCATATTCTCCAAATGTCTGTCACAGATGGCTTTCTGTCTGTAACTATGGCTTGAAAAAATTCTGATTTCTGTTCCACAGAACACAGGAAAAAATACAGAAAGCAATTAGTGCCAGACACTAGAAAGGCACAGGCCCTACTAAGTAAATTGCAAAGCTGTAGGAAGAGCTCCTATTACTCACGGCTGAAATTCTCCTAACAGTCTACAGAAGAGGGCTGAATGATGTGCAACATGTCAACATGTCCTTATTTAAGGACTGCTGTGTTGGAAGGGTTGCCAAGCAAGGGGAAAGCAATTGGACCACAAGAAAAGTAGATAAAAAAGTTTAGTTCTATGGCTTACAAGTTGCATGTAAGGAAAGCCCCATAAACAAGCACAAATCACGGGATAACACTATACACCTAGTGATTGCATAACCCATACTATCAGCACTGTGAAGTAATGGTATCCTAGGCTACCAGTTCAAAAAATTTACCAAACCTTTTCTATGACTGCTTATCACTGTTACTAGTGCCAGTTTTACGGGGTTGCGTACAGAGGTATCAAGTGGCAAACCAAGAAGATATATTTGCACATCATTTTGCCCTAAAAAGAGACCACGCAGAGGACGCTCTTTTCAACAGGTGACACGCATTCCCACTTCCCCCAAAACAGACAGTAAAGTAACTGTATTCTGCAATAGACCTAAGAGAGCTCAACATTTGTTTATGTATCAAAGCTTAGAAGATTTAACTTTTCACACATCTCCAGAAAATTCCCCATAATCTCACAGGAATCAACAGACAACAACAGAAAGTTTACTGCCCTAATGATCTCTAGAGGTATAATGGCCCATACAACTTTTTGTATGGGCCTCTTTTCAATGCCCTAAACAGTGCATCATCACTTTCACCCACACAAAGCTAATGGAAGATAATCCCATGTAAGAATGATACATTTCAGCAACATCTTTCCACTGAAATAAACATTTCAGATTCTTACCTTGACATTCCACCTTGAATTCAATTGCTTGAGCCTGATTTTAATATTATTATTATTATAGAGGCACTGTCCTGCATGGGTTTTTTGTTGTTTTTTTGTTTGTCTTTTTTTTTTTAACAAATGAGC